GGAGGGGAGGGAGGGGAGGGAGGGGGGACTGTTTCCATTTCGAGATCCCACCTCTTCCCTCCCAGGAGCCCAACATCCCGAACCTAGAGACAACTCTCGTCTTTCTCCCACGTCCCCCACCTTTGCTGTCAACAAGAAATAAGGACGAGTGTATGTGTGTGTGTGTGGGGGGGGGGTGCTGCTTATTAGAAAGGACGCGGTGGCTTAGTGATTCTCGATGGGAAAAGCAACTCGCTGGAACTCAGGCCTTTGGCCCCGTCCCTCTTTTCCGCCGGGAGGGACGCAGGATGTCTTGGCTTGCTGTGGGGACGGGGACCGGAGGGTACTGGAGGGTGGCAGTCCCCGGTGCCTGTCCCCTCACGCTCCCTCTGACTTCTGGATACCTGCGAGCGTCGCTTCCACCCCACCGCGGGCGCAGGTTTCCTGAAGGCGGCGGAGTGGGTGGGGCCCCAGCTTCCCTCGGGCAGGTTCCCAGCAGGTGTGTGGGGTGGGCATTTCTATCGGGTGAGTCTGTGGCATCTGGTAGGAGAACGTGGGGAGTCTCAAAGCGAGCGTAGGGGTAGAGCTGCGTCTTGGTCCCTCCCCCCCCCCCGAAATAGGGAGAAGGATCAAGACATTCCCCCCCACTCCTCCACGCTTTAAATGTCTGCTTCAACTCGGAGCTAGGCGGTTGGGTAAGTGGCGGCGGTCAGGGTGAGGGTGAGCTTCGTCATGTGGAGAACTGTAGGCTTCTGACAGCTTGGAGCCCTGTCCCCGCCCCAGGCGGAAGGTGTGGGTTGGGTGGTCCAGGCAGGGTGACGTCCGAGGCGGGGTGGGACGGGCTCGGGATCCCTCGGAGCGCGAGGGGCCGCAGCCCTGCCCGCTGGGGAGCGCCGCGTCGGGGAGGCGGCGGCCACGTGAGAGGGTCTGCGGAAGCGCCGGAGCTGAAGGCCGGGGGCGAAGTACGTAGCGGAGTCGTGACGGGGGCTGACACGCAGCGGCCGGGGGCGGCGGGCCGGGGTGCGCGGGGCCCGC